TATCACTCTACATGGTTACTTCCTGTAGTTACTACTTTAAATAGCAATTATACGACAATTGTGAACAAATTTATCTAAACCATGTTGGAAAAATTAATGTTCGACCGACTTGTAATAAAACTTCATACATATATAAAAAAAGGTGAGACCACCTACATGTGCAATAAAGCACGTCCAGCAATCATCTAGATGGTGATCAAGTGATAAAGACTTGGGACTAAGAGATTTGCTCCCTCTGTGGTCTCAGGTTCGAGTCCTTGGCTACTCGTATGATGACCACTAGAGGCTTACATGGTCATTAATTTCAGGGCCCGTGGAATTAGTCGTGGTGCGCGCAAGCTAGCCCGGACACCCACACTAATCTAAAAAAAAAATAAAGCACGTCCAGCAACATCGTATCTTTCATTTTCAAAATCAAAAACAACCACCCAACTTAAAATGCCGTAGCAGACGAGACAAGGAGATGGTTAATTGGAAGTGATACGTAACCAAGTGTATGTTATTGGCCCAACTTTTTTTTTAATGATTTTAATAAAGTAATATTAAAAGTAATAAATATATATTATTTTCATATATTTTTCATTAATGTTTTTTACAGTAATGCTATACATGGTATTACCATGCCATATATTTTTCATTTTCAAAATAAAAAACAACCACCCAACTAAATGCCGTAGTATTTTTTCTGTGACTAGATTTATAATAGAAAAAATATTAAATTTATACTTTTTAAAATATTTTTTTAATTGTTTGATGTAATAATGGCAAGAAAATTTTTAAAAAATTCTCTTACATTTTCATTTTAAAAACATGATGAATGATAATGTGATAAAGATGTCCTCAACGAGGATTTGAAATTTACACAACAGGTCTTAAGTTCGAGTTAGGACGTGCATCTCTTATAAGAGTCTGGAACAACTAGAGTTTTACTTGCGCATCTAGATTCATAAAATATATTTTCTAAAAAATAAATTTTCTCAAATAAAAAATAAAAAAAAAGACACAAAACCACTAGTTGCTTGAATTATTAGCACTTTTGACTCCATCCGTTACCATGTGCCCGGGTTTATGTAACTTGAAAGGGGGATGGATAATGACAACATAACCGAATAAAGAAAACGAGGACCGGAAAGCTTATCTTTAAATTCTTGGTTGCTCATATGATGGTAATTGGAGGCTTACATAGTCGTTAATTTCAGGACCCATGGAATTAGTCGTGATGCACGTAGGCTGGCCCGGACAACCAAGTTAATCTAAAAAAAATAATATGATTTAGTTATTTACAATAAATTTTTTGATATTATACAGATGATTTTTTTTATTTAACGCTGAATAAGTTTTTTAATTTACACTTTAACTTTTTTATGTAAATAAATATGTTAAAATAGCCAGTATACTCCATTTTTTCTTATAAAAACATTACCACAGGCAACGGCAACAGTTAGTGCAGGTTAAATAACTAATGATTTCTATTAGTGATTATATTGCATCGCTCACGTAGATAGATATGTACTCGTCAACTTTACAAGTTATAAATGCATGTATTCTTGTCACGGCTTTCTACCTTCCAGGTATTGTATACGAGTTATAAAGTATAATATATTAGATATCGTGGTGACCATTTTTAAAAAATATTTTTTATTTTTCTAAAAATAGTTTTAACTTTAACTTATCATTTAAAAATACTAAAAATAATTTAAAACAAAAAAATATTTTTTAAAAGAAGCGATGACACTATAAAAACAACCAGGCAAAGGAAAGGGAAAAGGTTGTTTACAGACTCACAGTAATACAAAGATGCCAGATATAAATATCTACGAATCCATTCAGATGATCTTTAGCCTTTCAAATCCTGGTTTTTTATTTTTATTTATTTTTATTTCCCTTTCTTCTCCATGGAAACAGTGTGTGTCCGCAATGCACACGTTTGGTGACATTTTAGACAAAATGTAGATGCAAACAGTACGTGATACTACTACATGCATTGTGTTATCCTCTTTCCATCCTATTATTATTAATCCTTTTATAAAAAAATATATATAGAAATTTTAAGAAAATTACCAGAACCATTAATTATCATTGACTATGGTATGCCAGTTTTCTTTTATCTCTGAACTGTCTAAAATAATTCCATGCATTCTTGGATTATTAAGTTAAAAGGCACTAAAGAAAACAACAGAATATCTGATCTTCATGAAACTTCGAGTTTTAAAATAACCAGATAAAATGATATAGTTAAAAAATACAAAAAAAAGAAAAGAAAAGAAGAAGCTGGGGTAATATTATTCATTCATAATTTTATAATTTGCCTAATTTACCAATCAATATGTTACTCTGCTGGCCTCGTCTATATCAGAAAATCAAGGGGTTTAAAGATTGTTAGCGCAAAGCGATGGCTCCAAGAAACACAATTGTCAAGGTAAAACCGCACAACCATGAAAGCTCAGCATCATCAAACCAGAAGTGTGCTCGGCATCTTAATATCTTCTGTGATTGCGGTTTACAAAAAGAAGATTTAAAAAAAAAGTATTTTTAATTACAGTTTTGAAAAAAATAAAATTTTAAAATATATACCTAGTTAAAAGAGCATAAGATGAATTTTTGTACGTAAAATAAATAAAAAATATTTTTTCATGAATAAAAAACATATTATTATAATTTTTACAAAATCAAAATTTAAAATATAATTACATATAAAATCCAACGAAAAAAAAATAATTAAAAAAATTATATAAAAAACCTAAAGCTACGGTATTGAAAAGAAGTTGACATTTTGGATTTTCCAGCATAATAAATTGTCACTGTTGAATGACCAAATAATCAATTAGTTTCTCGAGCCCCCTTTTTTTTTTTATCTTTTCCCTCCTCTTCTTCTGTTTTCTATCAAGATTTTTCAAATATTTGAAGGGATTCAAGTGACTTCGTTATTAAAATCAAACACAATACTCAAAATTAAACGCGTTTTATTGGCTCGTACTTCGCAATAGATTAATAATATTTTTCATTGTTGAATGACCAAAGTAATCAATTAGTTTCTAGGGCCCTTTTTCTTTCTTTTCTTTTCCTTCCTTCTTCTTCTTTTGTTTTTTGCCAGGATTCTTCAAATGTTTGAAGGGATTCAAGCGACTTCATTATTAAAATTGAACACAGTACTCAAAGTAAGACACTCGTTTTATTAGCCTGTAATTCGCAATAGGTTAATAATATTTTTTGTAGATACAATCTTTCTAAAAAATATAAAAAATACTGTAAGTGTATTGTATTGGATCTAGTAATTATATTAGATTTAGAAGTTTTTAGTCTAATAATTATATCAGACCTATCAATCTTAAATCATATAAACATGTTTTGATTTAATACGTGCCAAGAGCTTTTAAAATAAAAACTTGAAAAGATAATGCCTCTGATTCTTTGAATATAATATCTATTGTGATCAACAATTTAAACAATTTATATATATAATACTAGCATAATGATTTTTTCATTTATTTGAAAATACAGTACAATATGTAATTCATGACACCAATTCTCATTCCATGTGAGATGAGTTTCAATTTTATATTATAATTTCAATTATTTTTTATAGGTCCCAATGAAGTGCAAGGAAAACTATTTACTGGTACATGGTTAGTATTTTTCATGGCTGTGAATATTTTATATTTAAAACTTTTAAAAATCCACTCTTTAATCTTATATTTTAAAACATAACAAGTCACGAAAAAAAAAAACAAAAAATGTACCTAGACGTGTATATTTGATGCTTGCCTGTTGATTTGCACCAGCCAACTTATAACATGGCTAGCACGAAATGTCTAAAAAAAACAAAAATCCAAGGAGAGAAGAGTCTGGAAATGAAAAAAACACCGCAGTCTGGTACCTCGAAACATGCAAGAACGCCCTCTCGCTCAATCGGCATGTCAGAATCGAAAGTTAAGATTGTCTTATCCTCAAGATCTAATCTGTGATCAACCCACGTGTCCGATCCCGCTGGACGCAATGGGGCACTGCCAAGTGCCTCGAATCCGAGACAGAGAATAACGTGCTTGGCTTTATCAATACGACTCCTCGGAGCCGCCCATCACGTTCCGTTTTCATTTTAATATATAAATCTTTTTCCTTTTTTTGAGAAAAAGTATAAACTATACCTTTAATTTCTATAGACAAGAGGAACAATCTACTTTAGTACCCATAGTTCAGTATCTTCCAACGTTAACCTTATAATTTCGCTCGAAGTTAGAGTTTGCCCAAATTCTCAAGTAGCCAGCCGTGTAGATTGATGAAGTGTCCGCGTGTGTGTATCTATATATATATATATATATTTAAATAGATTTCTATTTAAATATTTTGACTAGAGAGCGTTAACAATCTTGCCATGATCACTTTTATTCCTAATTCCATTTTAAACAAGACTACCTTCCCCGCGCGAGTGCACATATATTTATTTATTTTTATTTCCCATCTCTTTATTTTTTGTATGTGTTTTTGTATGTATTTTTGCTTCAAACTTCTATAATATTATATTGTATTTTTTCTAAAAAAATTAAAGAAAGAATCTTGAAAAAATGCTAGTAATGCCAAGGATGTTTTAAAATCATGCTAAATTACAATGACATATATGCTATAAAAAATCATGATTATATTACAACCATGGAAAGATTAACATGTAATAACGCACTGTTTAAAATTAAAAACTTTATTTAATTGATAATGCTAAGTAATATTATAAATATCCCTAAAACTAGCCAAGAAATAAATATTTTTTTTAATGAAACTACTCCAAATATTTTAAAAAGCCACCCCTTCATTAATTTCCATTAGCTGTTTACTGGTAAGTAATCTTACGGGAACGTTTTGGAAAGTATAGGATTAATAATAGGAAAGTTCAAGCTAAAAGAGTTCAGATTGAATACGTTTTGATCTACAAGGACTAAAGAAACTTAGTTTTTTCCCTCTTGTTTCTGTAATCATGCTTGCGCTCTCCGCCACTTCCGAAGTTATTCTTTTTCCCTCTTGTTTCTTTTGTCATGCTTGCGCTCTCCGCCACTTCCGCATTATTCTTCACCTTCAAATCTTCTTCCCGAGGTTCTCATAGCAACGAATCAAGGACAGATCAGTCATTTGATTGATAATCATTATTATGCATGGTAATTAGTGTCTGATCCGAGAAATCGAGAAGACGCTTTATGGAAATTTTTTTAATTATCCTTGCAAATTCTCTGATTTAAAATACTCTCGTGAAGAAGATATTTAAGGTCTGTTTGTTTACTTAGAAAAAAATGGGGTTTCTTAGCACAATATCAGGGTTTTGTGGATTTGGTGTTGGAGTTTCCACGGGTCTCACCATCGGTTATTACCTCTTTATCTACTTCCAACCCACCGATGTCAAGGTAAAACGAATTTTTACTATCTCTTAATCTTTTTGCATTTATTGAGGTTGCTGAAATTAATTTGCTTAGATTTTGATTTTTTTTAAGGATCCCGAGGTTCGGCCATTGGCAGAGCAAGACTCCGAAACTTTGCAACGGATTCTTCCAGAAATACCGCTATGGGTGAAAAATCCAGACTATGATCGCGTAAGTGAATAGCATTTGTGGATTTAATTTACAAGAACAAACTGCATTTTGTTTTTTTAGTAAAGGTGGTTTTGTGTTTGTAGATTGATTGGCTAAACAGGTTTATTCAACTTATGTGGCCTTACCTCGACAAGGTTTGATTTCTATGGCTGGTTCTTGTTTTCTTTTTAGTGATTGTCTTTTTAACTATTTTGGTTCTGTTTTTGTGCAGGCCATTTGTAAGACTGTGAAGAATATTGCGACGCCGATAATTGCTGAGGAGATTCCGAAATACAAAATTGATGCGGTTGAGTTTGAAACTCTTACACTTGGAACCCTACCGCCAACTTTTCACGGTCAGTAGGGAGCTGTTTTTGTAGTTGATAGGACAAGTCTTGAAGATGCATTTATATGGTTTTATGCGTTGAGTTAGAATAGAAGTTATCTTGTTGTGTCATTTTGTGATGAATCTCTAAGATCATGCAAAGGGAAAAGAGAGTGTGCTTTGAAAATGACTCTAGACTGTATAGACAGAGGGATTTCTGTCTAATAGGTTTAGAAATTTTGGCAGTCGATGTTTAAGACTGTTTTCTAGGTTCTAGGAGAATTCAGTTGTTAACGTTTTGCTGCTGCATAATTTTGTACCCTTGTCACGGGCAGTTATCTTTTTTCTTCATACACTTTCATTTCACAATCTCTTCAAATTCCGAAGGCGCATTCAGAAGCTTCCACACTCCATATTAGCATAGAAGTAGATTCTCATGCCATTTCGTGATGAATCTTTAAAATTTTGCAAGGGAGAAGGAAACTGTGCTTTGGAGATGGCTTTAGAATATGTAGAGAGGGGTTCTGTCCAATTTCTTTGACTTATTATAATTTCTTCAAATATTGTTCTCATCAGGTATGAAAGTTTATGTCACTGATGAGAAGGAGTTGATAATGGAACCATGCATCAAATGGGCTGGAAATCCTAATGTCACTGTTGCTGTTAAAGCATTTGGGTTGAAAGCAACTGCCCAGGTAATTGGATTCCTGTTCAGAAGGAGGTTGTTCTGTTGATGACTTGGATTTAAGAAATTCTGTTTTCTTACTTTTTGGATAATTTCAGGTGGTTGATTTACAAGTTTTTGCTTCACCACGCATAACTTTGAAGCCCTTGGTTCCTAGTTTTCCTTGTTTTGCCAACATCTATGTGTCTCTCATGGAGAAGGTTGGTGTTTATTTTTTCTGCTCTGGTCAAACTTGAAAGGTTGGTGTTAGGCATTCGCATCTGATTTTTCATGGATACTTACTACTGTACCCTTTTTTAAGTTTCACCAGTGACATATGACCTCTAGGACTAACTTGGCCAGCATTTATCCTTGCATACAGAATAGAAACCAGAAGATATAGGTAGGTGCAAATTATTGAGTACAGATAATGTCTTAGGAAAAATGATTTTGTGAATTCTCATACAGGAACTTCTATGTCCCACCATTGTTCTTGGTTCTTACAGCTCTTTTAAGATTTCACATTTCTGTTAGATTACGGGAATTGACCAGTTAATGCAAATACAGTTTGACACAGTTTTATCTTAAGGCTGAGCATAAGTTTCCGAGTAAACTTCCTATACTGATATTTGTTTTGTTATATGATTCCTTTACTAAATTTTGAGGGATGGTCTATTGTAAGAGAACTTCAAGCTTGGGTCTATTCTCATTCATATACTTCCACAGAGAATACATGCATATCAGTGGTTTTAAATGTGATTATTTTCGTCTCTCTCGTGTCTTATTTTGCAGCCACATGTTGACTTTGGGCTCAAGCTCTTGGGGGCTGATCTAATGTCAATACCTGGCCTTTACAGGGTCGTCCAGGTACAGTACTACATGTTTCTATCTTGTCCTACTCCCTTTACATCTTTTTCCACGTTGCCCTGGTTGGCATAAAGCATTGTTGATTCAGAACATTATTTTCAGGGCTGGATGGGCCACTGGTTATTTGAATATTGAACCCGTCTTGTTACTTCGCCAAAAGTTTTCTAGACTACCAGCACCTAAGTTGTTGAATATGTTTGATTATTGTGTGCCTCACTGAGTTCTGATTATGAGAATACATTGATCTAATTCAGTGTCTGTCCTCTCCTCTCCTGTGAGTTCCCCTTGTGGATGCTTCATTGTTTTACTACAAATCTGCTCTGCTTGTTTAAGGAGGAAACCTCAATTTTTTCCAAGAGTGGTTTCTATGAACAGTGGTGTAAATATTTGAAAGTTTTAGTTGCTAAAATTTTGAAAGCAATGAGTTTTGATGTTACATATTATCTGTTTAATGTTTTTATGGTCCATGATTTTAGTAGTAGTAAATTGGTTTTTGCTGCAGGAGATTATTAAAGAACAGGTTGCAAACATGTATCTATGGCCTAAAACCCTGGAAGTACCCATCTTGGATCCTGCAAAGTAAGTTTTTGTCATATTCTGAAAATAAGTTAGTTGTGATGACTTAAAGTTTGCTGCAAGTCGTGAAAGTTTTTTATGCTAATTACCCTCATGTTTTGGCCTATCAATTTGAATGAAAAATCCAGTGCCATGAAGAGGCCTGTGGGAATTCTCAAAGTGAAGGTTCTGAGGGCAATGAAGCTGAAGAAGAAAGATCTGATGGGAGCATCAGACCCTTATGTGAAAATAAAGCTGACTGAAGATAAGCTTCCAGCCAAAAAGACTACTGTGAAGCACAAGAACTTGAACCCTGAATGGAATGAGGATTTCAATTTGGTTGTTAAAGATCCAGAGTCTCAGGCTTTAGAGCTTCGTGTTTTTGACTGGGAGCAGGTAAAAAAATCTCCATTTGCTTTTAAGTAGCTTTCTGTTCTCTGTTCTGTATTTCAAGCTGCTCCATTCTCTTTCCTTTAGGTTGGCAAACATGACAGGATGGGTATGAATGTAGTGCCACTGAAAGATCTCACACCAGAGGAACCAAAAGTCATGACTCTCGACCTCCTTAAAAATATGGACTTGAATGATCCTCAGAATGAAAAGTCACGAGGGCAGCTTATGGTGGAATTGACATATAAACCCTTCAAAGAGGACGATTTGAACAAAAGTTTTAAAGATGAGGTGGAACAGAAGGCTCCTGAAGGGACCCCTGCTGGTGGAGGTCTGCTTGTTGTAACGATTCATGAAGCTCAAGATGTTGAAGGAAAGCATCACACTAATCCATACGTACGCCTTCTTTTTAGAGGGGAGGAGATGAAGACCAAGGTATATAATTTACACATGTAAACTTGCATTAGAATATAGCATATCTGTGTACGTCTGTTAGCCTTCTTTGCATTTTTATTTGCACTTGATTAATCTGAAAAGCTCTTTCTGAAATTCATGGGAGAAACATGTTGAACTCATTTTTCTAGAACTTTGCTTCTAGTTTATATTTTGTTTACTTCAAGTGGCATTGGTGGTCATGTGGAGTGAATAGTCTTCTTGCCTGTCAATGGAATTCATTCTTTCCTCTCAGCAATGTCCATTTCTTCATGCAAGTTAATGTTCAGAAATGTCTACTGTTGGTGATGGGTGGGACACTGATCTGTTCTGAAACAAAAACCTGGGACTGGTGGCAGGCAGATAATCAATGAATTTAATTTGAAGCTAACATTTACAGGCCTAGGATTAAAAGTTTCATATTTTCTTCATACAGCGTGTAAAGAAGAACAGGGATCCTAGATGGGAGGAGGAATTCCAGTTTACACTGGAGGAGCCCCCCGTTAATGCGAAGCTACATGTGGAAGTTGTTAGCACCTCATCCAGGATTGGCCTGCTGCATCCAAAGGTACAGATTGTATAATTTCTTTTTAACTAACCCCGTGTAAAGATAATAAAGTATGAGAAGCGTATGCTACTAAAGTAATCATAGTCATTTTGCTTGTGAAGATGGTTTGCTTGGGTAGCACCATCTCTACACAAAAAATCCTCACCATAGATAAGGTTTTGTCATAAGGCTCGGATACCTGGGGAAACAGAAATCCAGTGGGTATTTGTCATAAATTCTGTCATGGCTTGATGCTTACGACTTAATGCTCTGTAGAATTTGATTGATCATCATACACTTACCATTTTTGAGAAAATAATCCCAAGGAAACAAAAAAGGAAGTCATAGTGCTTTATTCTCATGCTTGTGAAGTTGGAAGGATGTTTTCTGGGAAGTTTTTCCCGATATTACCACCTGTGGTTGAATAAAATATGAAAGCTTGACTAAGCAGACAATCCAGTTCAGCGATGAATTGGAATTCAAAAATCATTCTCTGAATGTTATTGTTCTGGTTTTTAATCAGCGCTAGCTTTTAGAGTGTCTAGCATCCAGAAGAGGGTTGAAGAATTTCATGTTGTTTGCTTGTTCTTTAACCAGGAATCACTTGGTTACGTGGAGATCAATCTCTCAGATGTTGTTAGCAACAGAAGAATCAACGAGAAGTATCACCTTATAGACTCGAAGAATGGAAAGATTCAGATTGAGCTGCAGTGGAGACCAGCTTCATAAGCCTATCGATTGTCCTCTCTTTTGTTTTTCTTTGTTCTCAAGCCTCGAAATTCCTTGTTTCAGCAAAATTCTTTATGTTGCTTATGTACATTGATTGCAATTAAAGAAACTATTCATGGGCTTATACGGGATTCAAAATCTAGTGCTATAAAAAATGAGGTAGCCTTATCTGTTTCAGTATATAAAACCAAGTTAAGGTAATACAGTTGAATGAAAAATCAAATTCACAAAACAAATCATCATCGTTGCTGTGTAGGTAGAGAAGCTATTTGGCAATGTATGCTTGGCGGTCAACTAAGATGGCAATTCCATGGTACATCCAGGCCATTAGACTCATTTAGAACATAACTGATGGATCGTGTCTCATGAAATATTAAAGAAAATGATAAAGAGGCTTTTTCAGAAAATGAAGAGAGTCGAGAGAAGACACTTGAATGTGAATGTAATCGATGAAGATGCATTTGGGTGTATTGAATCGAGTTTTTTTTCTCAGGTGTAAGAGAAACACAAAAGCTACCCGCTTTTTAATATAAATACAAATTCAGGACACCCTTGTGTTGTGCATTGAGAGCCTTCCATCATGGTGTTGTCATTTAACGAGAGCATGTCTATTATGGTTCCCTTTTGAGACGGTGACAGTAATTCTATTCAACTGCTTTTGGATTGCCCCGTGAATTGTACCGTCTCCAGCAGCAGACAGGTGCTGATCTTGATGGATCAGCGAATGAGAGAGAGAGAGAGAGAGAGAGAGAGAGAGAGAGAGAGAGAGAGAGAGAGAGAGAGAGAGAGAGAGAGAGAGAGAGAGAGGTGAGGGTTGGAAGACTACAGTGCTAGAATGTTCGGGTTTCCCGTGACTGTATCTTGGATTCGGCTGCATAAGCATTGGAGATGTATTCCTCGGGTGTTGATGGTCTTGTCACACTCTTAACTCAAGAACATTATGAGTAATGTTTGGCTGCTTTTCCTGATGCTTTATCAATCAGAATACATTTCTGATTTAGGCAGTACAGAAGCAACAAAGTAAAGCCCTTTGATTTGAGTAGGTTCCACGGCTGCTTTAAGCAATCTATTCTCTCCTGTTTGAATTCCTGAGCCTTTTCAGGACCTGACAGGGTAGCCTGTGGACTATTTCGTTAGATGAAGAACCAAGTCCAAGTGAGAACAGAAAGCTGGGAGCCAAGGGGACCAGAAGTGGCAGTGTGTTTGACAAATTCAGGAGTTGAAAACTCTGGTAGGCATTAGGATTTTGCGCCTTTATAACGATTTTAAGATATGATTTGTCAAGCAAAAGATTGGTTCTCCTCAAGCATGTGGACTCTCACAATGGTAGAGCCCACTATTCAAGGTTGCTGAAAAGATTGAACTATTGTTCCGAGACAGAGGTTGCGAGGCTTCTAGTTCAGGTGCACACTGCTGCTGGTGTCTTGAAAACAGATGAAAATCCAGTATGAAGATACGAGGTGTGCAGGATGAAGATGAGCATGGCAATCTTGAGGAAAGAATCCCTTCTTTCGAACTGGCTATTGCTCATAAACTTGGAAAATTCGACCATCCCCTCCTCTGAATGGACAAACGGATATGCTATTGAAATTGGGTCTTCATTGATGCATGGTGGGGAGTTATGGCTGGTGGGAAGGGTTCGCAACTAAGTCTGTGCCATTGTTCTGCAAGTTTACTTTTCAAGTGATAAGTTAGTTTTTACATGCAAAAATGGTAACGATGATAGTTATCAAGCCGCATATTACCGTATAGAAACTTCACCTGAGTCAAGTTTATTTTCCAATCCATTTGATAGTTGACGGTAATATATTGAATCGACTTGATTAATTCAATATAAGATTTGTAAGTTCATTAAAGATTTTTTTAAAATAATATTTTTTTAATTTTTAAATTTTTTTTCAAAAAAATATAATGCATATATATATATAACACCTAAATTGAAGTTATTTCAATAAGTTAACATGAATTTATTTTAAAATAATATTTGTTTTACAATAAATTCATGTTAGCTCACAGACCTGAGAATTGATCCAAACAACCCTAACAACTCAGGTTTTGGACCGGCTCTCGTAAATATGGTCTTGAAGCATATACAGGGTCTTACACGAGTTGAAAAAAAAAAAAAAATGTAAAAAAAGCATATAAAACATCGACCCTCAAGCTAGCTGCCACGTAGCAATCTCAGCAAGATTACCACTGATCCCACCCACGCAAAATCCAAACTTGCCAGTTTATCCAAAATTTAAAGCTCTCATTTCATTTTAAAGGCCAGTCCTCTCCATTTCGCTCTTTCCTTCTTCAAGTTTGTTGGAGTCATAGAGAGAGAGAGTTTCGATGGCGTTACCGGTCGTTGACACAGAGTACCTGAAAGAGATCGACAAGGCACGTCGCGATCTCCGTGCTCTCATCGCTTACAAAAACTGCGCTCCTATCATGCTTCGCTTAGCGTAACTAGCCAACTAACTAACCACTCACTGTCTTTGTTTGAATCTTTCTGTTTCGATTGATATTTTTATTTTGCGGTTATGGTTTTTTTGAAGGTGGCATGATGCAGGAACGTATGATAAGAACTCGAAAACAGGAGGAGCTAATGGTTCGATAAGGAATGAAGAAGAGTACTCTCATGGTTCTAATAGTGGCTTGAAAATCGCTATCGATTTTTGCGGTTAGTTAGTTCCACTGAAATGTAACTTACTTGATTTGTTGATTTTTTTTCAATGTTTGATTATGATTATGATTTTTTAATTTTTTAGAGGGAGTGAAGGCGAAACATCCGAAGATTACTTATGCGGATTTATACCAGGTGATTTTCATTGATTAATTGATGAATTGTATAATTAATGATGCAGATAATTAAATAACTTTTTAATTAATAGTAGTATTTTCCATTTTTATGTCTATTTAATATGTTGTTTCACAGATTTGGTAGTTAATAATTAACATTTATCTTGATTTTCTTGTCAAAAAATAACATATGTGGATATGTAATAGAAAAACTTGTGATTATAATGTAAATGAAGTAGCGATTTTCGTGTGGGTGAGTGGAGAGGTGGAATATGTATGGAATATTCCAAGGATCACACACGACACACGTGTCCAGGAACGCACGCTCATTTTCCTGGGGAATGGAAAAACTAATTATATAGTTCGTGGATAGGGATGTAAGTTCTAAGGATGTTACAACCACTGGCACGGCTAAATCACAAGGCTTGAAGTTTTAAAATGTGTCTGCCTGACCTGTCTAGTCTATTTTCTCAATAATTTTACGTTAATTGCAATGAAATGACGAGTTTTATTAATGCAAGTATAGTGTTCCTGTCTCATTGTCATCCATGTTGGTATCGAGCGCTCACGAATATTGATACCAACGGTGTCCTTTTAATTGATGAATAGTTTTCTAAGCTTTGCAGGGAAGAATTTGGAGAGATTTTCTTCTAGTATTTTATCCTACATATATAGGAGGAATTTGTTGAAGGATATTGGTAGGTGGACACTGTCAGATGTACTATCATGGATTCATGGTTGCAGCTCTGATACTTGGCAGGATACACAATTATATTTGCCAAACTATGAACACACCAGCAAACCTTAAATTCCATGATTGTTACATCAGTCGGTACATTCAGTTCAAAATGAGAGTTGTTGTTGATATACAATGAGTGGTGGTTTGAATATGAAATATTTGAATATTTTGAGTATAATTGTTGGGTTTCCGAGCAATTTGATTCATAGTCAACAACTTTCATGTTCAGCTTGCAGGTGTTGTTGCAGTGGAGGTCACTGGGGGTCCAACCATTGATTTTTTTCCTGGTAGAAGGGTATGTGATTGTGGCATTTCTCGGCAATATAGGTGATTATGAGTTCATAACATTGCTGACTATATGTCCCATCTCTTAGGATTCAAATATTTGTCCCAAGGAAGGGCGACTTCCAAATGCTAAACTAGGTATTTTCAGTATTTTAATTATCATGGAACTTCTTTAATTTATTTCAGGGGCTGGAAATTCTCAAATCATTGTTTGCTTTCTTCTAATGCCATAAATTTAGCTAAACCTGATTCAAAGGGAAGGTGGATTTATGTGTTTTGTTGTGTCTTTGTCATTCTGTAAATAAGCCATCCATTGCATGTTTACAGTATCAAGAGAACTAATAGTTAAGGAGGTATGCCCTGTACAGGACTGATGCGCAGCAGACTAGTTTCGCTGGCTATAATTATCCATTGAATTTAGCTGTCTTCAAGTGGTCTTCCCAGTCATTTGAATTTCTATTTCAACAATGTAGTTTTCCAATTTTCGAGAACTTGTGTTCCATGTGGACCTGAAAGTTCTATCCTTAACATGGTATTGTGTTGAACACAAGTTGAAATGTTAGCCAGGAATGTAAATTGTTATGGTGTTTGGCTAAGAGGCAGAACCGTCACACAAAATGCAAAGCAAGTTCATTTTGGGGACCCAATGCATTTGTTTACTCTAAGCATTGCACATGAAGATACACACTAGATTTTCAGGCAAGATTATTTGTAGTTGAATCACTTATAATTGCTTGTTTGTTGGTTTCAGAACCTTTTGTATGTTCTGTCTCATGAAATTACTCCTAAATCCATAGAGTTCTACCATTAGTAGGTGGTTTAACGTGGAGGAGTGTCGGGTTCTCATATCTCAATTCATGCGATGATCTTTACTTGTGTTGGTTCTGCTGATAGAGCAGTCATACTGATCTCACAACATGCATAGATTCGTGCTGATTTCTTTGTAAGAAATATGTGTATAGGTTGTCATTTTCAGCTGTTCTATGGATAAAAAATTGATGTTGTTTGATCTTCATATGGGCTGTTTATTCAGACTTTCAGCATCGGAAGGGGCGAAGCTACACATTAGGGAAGGGGGGCAATTGCACCCCTTAATTTGTCAATCTGATCTCTTTAGTCCTTATACTTTCAATTTGTTATGATAATTTTAAGTAAAAATACATTAGTCGCCCAACATAATTTTCCTAATTCTTAACTATGAAACCCCTTTAAATTTTTATACTTCCCATTTTAATCATTGTACCTTTCAATTTTTAATGATAGTTTTAAATAAAAATACATTAGTTGCCCCCATAATTTTCTTAATAATTCTTACCCGTGAAAAAAATTT